GAGGCTCATCAGGCGATCGTTGATGCCCCGCGGCAAACAGGGCAGTCGTCCCACGATGTCGTTCCGAATGGCGAAGGCGACGTCCGCGTCTCGTCGCTCTGCCCTGGGGCGGCCGCTACAGAAGAAGGTGTAGCCAGAGTGGACGAAAATTTCGCGAAAACAACAACATTGCATCGTTTACAGCATATAAATTTCAAAGTAATAAGGTGAAAAGCCTGATTTTCAAGAAGCGATATGATTTAGAGAGTAATTTGCTTCACGAAGCCGTTAAAAATTCAAAAGTGCTCTGCAGCTATCTGCGGAAGAGCACACGTAACTGGAATCCTATTACTGTCATGAGGAATGCTGTTGGTTCGGTGATATCGGACAATACAAATAAAGCTGAGCATTTTTCTTAATTCTTCTAATCGGTTTTCACAAGAAGAGCAAGTTTATTCCAACTAGTTCCGAGAACATGGGAGATCCGTCTATGGAAGACATCGTGTTTAGAGAAGCAACTATTTTGGAAAAGCTAAAAAGCCTGAAGGAATGTAAATCTCCCGGTCCGGACAAGATCCCAGCAAAGCTGCTCTTTGAACTTGCCCAACAGCTGGTCAAGCCACTATCCTTTCTGTGCAATGAATGATTTGTTGCTGGAATCCTCCCCACAGACTGGAAGACGAAACATATTACACCCCTTTACAAAAGCTGTAGTCGGGCTCTTGCGACGAACTACAGACACGTCAGTCTGACATCAATCTGCTGCAAAGTAATGGAGAAAACCATAAAAAAGGAGTCCATGGCTTATCTGGAAAGCCACAACCTCTTGTCCAATGCACAATATGGTTTCCATGGGGGTAGACCATGTGTAAGGAGCTTACTATATACAGTACAAAGTTGGACAAGAGCATTGGATGCAAAACACACTGTGCACGTGAGTTATATTGATTTCCGGAAGGCGTTCGACAGTGTTCCGCACCAGCGTCTCCTGCAAAAGTTGAGAATTATGGGCGTCGGCGGCAAACTTCTCAAATGGATCAAGAACTTCCTCGTCGGCCGCTCCCAAATTGTCTGCGTAGAAAGACAGCAATCAGGGCGCACATTCATAGAGAGTGGAGTCTCACACGACTCAGTTCTCGGACCAACCCTCTTTCTCTTGTTCATCAATGATTGTGTAGATGGGTTGGGCTGTGATAGTGCTTTGTTTGCGGATGACGTAAAAATCTGGAAAGTCATCCAGAATGCAGCCGATGAGACCCACTTCCAAGAAAATCTTTGTCGATTGGACGAGTGGTCCCGTAGATGGCTCTTGTCCTTCAATTTGAACAAATGTACCAAACTGCACCTCGGAAATAAGACTCCTTATATGCGACAGTACCATCTAGACGGGATGCCACTCCGAGAAGCAGAAACGCAGAAAGATCTCGGATTCGGGGTTGCAGACATCCTAAAGCCTTCTACACAATGTTGTAAGACGGCCAAGGCCGCAACTTCGATGCTACATGCCATCAAGCAAGCATTCGCAGTTTCCGATGAAGACTGCTTTTCCAAAGTTTTCGGCACGTTTGTAAGGCCGCATCTCGAATATGCAATTCAGGCCTGGAAACTATGGGCCCATCAGGATTACAATCTGCTCGAAAGGGTATAGAGACGAACAACAAAATAAATAAGAGTTCAAAGCGCACTGCCATACGAGATCCACTTAACTAGCCTTAATCTCTATCCTCTGATTTATAGGCAGCTGCGCGGAGACTTGATGCAAACTTTCCGTATCGTGCGTGGCTTGGAAAGCGCTCTTCGGCGTGATGACTTTTTCCAAATCGCCACTACAAATAAACTTCGGGGACATCCCTTCAAGCTACGTGTGCCTCAGGGTAGATTAAATTTAAGCAAATATTTCTTCTCCAACCGTGTCGTGGAACCTTGGATTAACCTGCACGAGACGATAGTCATGTCTCAATCTGTGGAGACATCTAAATGTCGGCTTGACAGATATATGCTGCAGCAACAAGCGGACTATATGACTTTTAAGCCATGAGGCCAGTGACCTATGAGTCAATGTCTGCATTCACTTAATGCTGCAATTTCTTCACATTTCTGCTTATCTTATCGATTTTTTATGTACAAATAGAGAGTTTAAAGGCGTAAACCGATTTCCCTCAAGTACACTGACTGACTGATAGGCTGTCACGAGACTACCTACTCAATTGTACCTTTTTTATCCTCCAATTCTCCTTGTTTCTCTTTCAGGGTCAATCCTTAAACTCAGAACCAACCTTAACAACCAACACGGCCCCTACAACAAACAATTTGTCCAATTATTCCCCTTGTTTCCACAGACGGCTGCGTCCCCGGTAATCTTGTTGTTAGGACTTAGTCTTTTTCCCATCCGTTCCTCTTTAGCCTCTGTATTTCTTTTGATATCTTGATCGCTATTACATTGTTATCCTATTCAGAACGTATTCTTCCAATGTTTGATGTGTAAAGTCTGCATGTCGATTACTGAGACACCTGTTGCTCGGTCGCCGTAGATCGTCACAACGTACGTGTTCTGTTTGCGCGCTGTAAATTTCTGGCCCTTATTAAAATAATGACTTGACAATACTGTCTCCAACGCGAACGACACGACTGCCAATCCCAGACTATGGATATTGGGACAAGATAGGAGTTTAACTCAGCTTATTAAGGAAATTAGCCTTTGCCCTTGAGCTCCCTATGCACACCGATAAACAGAAATAGAGTAAGTTGTTACATCAGCGAATTTGGAAATTCAAAAGTTAACGGTATGTGTGAGCCAGGAGCAAACTTCCGCCGCTAAAACAATAGTGATTACATGTACAGTAGTTTCTCAGTAAATGACGCCCGTATGGGCCAGCTTTCTCTGCAGTTTAAAGGGATAACCACGCAGACGGTCAGTCCCGGCCAATTCGAAGAATTCACCAAAATCTAGGGCACAGCCACGGCCTCTGGCAATGCGGTAGATCGCCAAGCAATTGCCTATACTTGAGAGGAAACAGGTTCAGTTCGGCCAGCCCGGTTTCGTAAGGCAGATTATCAAGATTCTTGACCATCTTCGTAGCTATCGCCTGTACTCTTTCCATTTGTCGATAATCTTTCTTCAGCCACGGTCGGCATACCTGGACTGCGTACTCTAAGTGAGACCGGACGAATGCTCCATAGGTTTTTCCAAATAGCTCTTTATCGATCTGCACAAATCCTCGCCTCAGCGCAAATAACACCCTTATCGCACTTTTGGCTGCCCTTTGACACCGTGATGATGGTTTCAACGAGGAGGTCATTAGGACGCCGAGGTCTTTCTGTTCCACAACATTTGAAAGGGGCTGAGCACCCAGGGCCTATTAAAAGGAAACGTGCTCCTTACTGGTCTTTTTGGTGCGGAGTCTCAGGACCACACAGTTGTCCGCATTAAAATTAAGGAGCCACGAGCTGACCATCTGTTCAGGCGGTTGAGACTGTCTTGAAGCGCGTACCCGTCTGCGTAGGATCAGATGGCTCTCCAAAGCTTAACATTGTCAGCAAACATGATGCTGTTGCATCCCAGGTCGTGACGCAATCGCTAATGTAGACTAGGAATAGCAACGGCCCAAAGACGAAGCCTTGGGGTACACCACTTTAAACGGCTGCAGGAGTTGATCTCGAGACCCCAACGCACACGGTTTGTGATCTGCCTGTAAGAAAATCTGTTATCCATGTCAGCAGCTTTCTTCTTATCACAATTTCAGAGAGTTTGTAGATTAGGCGTTTGTGTGGGACGATGTCGAACGCCTTCTCGAATTCCGTGTGGATGACATCAATCCTACCATCCTCGTCCAGTGAGTGATCCCACATCTCAATCGAGAGCAATGAACTAGAAAAGCGAGAACGGTTCTGCCTGAAGCCGTGCTGCAGGTCTGAGAGTAAGTGGCCCTGCTCTAGGAACTTCATAGTTGCTTTCTTTACTATGGCTTCGATTATTTTACAGCAGCTGGAGGCGAGACAGACGGGCCAGTAATTGTTAACATTAGTGAGAGCCCTACCTTTGTATATCGGAAAGGGTGTAGCGGTGTCAGCGGTGGGTTCACGTGACGGTCGTAGTGGTCGCTAATTTGCTTGCAGGTGAGACTACGCCTAACGTCCATTTGCTGTCACCCAACTCGCACCTGTGGCTCCACGTAACTGGGCTCTGCTCAACGGCCAAACCCCGGATAACCGCCTCGACCGGTGGGCTAAACCAGGTGAGGGCGGTTATTCCCGGTGCGCGTTGTGCCACGTACACAGGGTACTGCGGACTCCGTTGGACGGTTGGTCGGATGGAACGCCGTGTCGGCACCGTCGTGAAGAGACACAGTCTGGTACACCGCTGGTCAGCCGATTCGTGGAACGTCGTATCGGCATCGTCTAAACGAGGCTCCGCCTGGTACGCCTTTGGTCAGTCGGTGGGATGGATCTTCGAATCGGCATCGATGACACGCCTCCATCTGGTGCACCGTAGGAGACCGCGGGCTTACGGCGATATCGTAAGCCATTGGCAAATTCGAGTCGTTCTTCCACTGCCAAGAAAATCTTGTGGCCCACAGTGGAGTTCGGCCGCGTCGGCACATAAAGCAGCCCTATTCAGAGGAGCACTGCTTCTCTTCGGAGGGGGCCCAAATAAGCTGGCCTAAAAACTGCTGGGAAACCACGTCGTCTGCAGGCTGACCGTGGTCGCAGATGAAAAACTCACGGTCGAAAAACCAAAATCGAAATAACAACCACAGCGACACTACTCGCTCTCCTCATCCTACCTCTTCTTCCTTTTCCTCTGCCTATTCTTCTCCTCCACCATCTTCTTCTCCACCTCCTTCCCGCCGCACCTATCGTCGCCAGACTGGCAGGGTGAATCCGCCCACTCTGGCTACACCTTCTTCTGTAGCGGCCGCCCCAGGGCAGAGCGACGAGACGCGGACGTCGCCTTCGCCATTCGGAACGACATCGTGGGACGACTGCCCTGTTTGCCGCGGGGCATCAACGATCGCCTGATGAGCCTCCGTCTGCCTCTCTGGGGAGACAAATTCGCCACCATCATCAGTGCCTACGCTCCGACGATGACCAACCCCGACGCCGTCAGAGACAAATTCTACGAGGACCTGCACGTCCTCTTGACGACTGTGTCGAAGGCGCACAAGTTGATTGTCCTTGGTGACTTCAACGCCCGCGTTGGCACAGACCATGCAGCCTGGAGAGGAGTGCTGGGTCCCCATGGTCTCCAAGGCACAAACGACAATGGTCTGCTTCTCCTTCGCACCTGCGCAGAACACCGCCTCATTCTGACGACCACCCGATATAATTTGCATCAAAGAAACACGGGCAAATGAACTTATATCCAATGCTTCGCTATATATCCCAAATTATAATTTTGGTCGACAGGACCGTGTTAATAAACGAGGCGGAGTTTGTCTTATCTACATCAAAACTAGCATTGTACAAAATTGTATTGATGTCCCAACCGAAACATTTGCTGGAGAAGCGTGTTTTGCCATAATAAAATCTCATGCCCAAGAAAACATACTAGTCGGATGCCTCTACTCTCCTCCATAATGATGACACAAGCCTCACCCACTTAATAAACAATATAGCTAACATAAAAACTGAATATAAGATAATCGCAGGCGACCTAAATCGCCCAGTACTAAGCTGGGTGGAATTATCGGCACCTAACGGGCACGAGGAATTGTTATCTTCAATTATCTTTAATAACTGGACGCAAATAGTTGGCAAACCCACACGGGGAAACGATATACTAGACGTTATTTTCACCGACGACATCTGGCCCTTCCATATGCACTACGACTGTGTAACCTTTAAAAGTGACGACAAAGCCATAATATCAACACTCCCCTTAAATGCAAAACTAGCACCCTATTTTAGTAACACTCACCTGAACCCAAAAAACTTGACAAAGACTCCATGAACAACTATATAAGGTCATTGGACAGGAGCCCATATCTTCTAACGACATACCCCATGGAAGCAGTTAACCTATTGTACTCTGTCCTATTTATATTTCGAGATTACTTGACAGACGAAGGACTGCCGTATTAGAAACCACTAATCCCACACTTTTTTTCAACTAAGCTAAAAAACTAAAAAAACGGCTACACAACCCCTCTGAAATTTATTTATCCACACTTCGAGGAATGGGGGAAATTCAAGTCCTAGTTATGAAAATGGAAACACAAAAGACCATACACCGTCGAGGAGGGAGCGACCACCCAACTGAGCGAAATTACAGAACGCATCCTTACTGAGAGCCGTTTTAGTGAACAGACTCTTAAAGTAGCCATTAAGCAACTATCCAACGCTAACTCTTATGGGACAGACAAAATCCCCCCATGTATTCTGAAGCATATTACACATGCTCCAATACTCCTATCTAAGGTATTCACCCTACTCCAGTCAAATGCATTTTTTCCGGACGTGTGTTAATACTTGGCCATCGCACCTATCTTTAGAAGCGACAACCGATCTCATACCCAAAACTATCTTGGTGTTCACTGACCACCTGCTATAGCTAAAATCCTCGAAAAAATAGTCTACAACCAAGTACTAAACCATCTCATAAACGCCAACCTCATTCCCTCCTCTCAACATGCATTTTTACCTGAAAAGACGTGTCAGTCCTACCACCTAATTTTTTGGAATTCGTTTCCAGTAATAGAGATGATGGAAACACAGTAGCTTCAATATACTTCGATCTAAAAAAGGCCTTTGACAAAGTACCCCATAAAAGACTATTGGTAAAGCTCAAAAGTCATGGAATTAGGCCTCCCCTTCTCGATTTTCTTTAATCCTATCTTCAAAACCGATATCAAGTGGTGCAAATTCGAAACGTAATTTCAGAACCATCCCCTATTACCAGTGGAGTACTTCATGGCACTATCCTAGGCCCCCTACTATTTCTCATATATATTCACGATTTATCGTCCATATCAGTATCAGCTAAGACGTTTTTATATGCGGACACTTTAAACTTGGATATGCATATAACGGGAACACAGATGCCAATATTCACAGAGCAAGTATTTAAAAGTGAGGCCTCAAAGGTGCAAAAGAAGTTTGAACTGAACATACTCCGAAATTCGTCGGAGCATCCGAAAATTCTATATGGTTATATACGAAGTACTAAAAGGACTCACGAGCTGAGCCCTGCCCTTAGGTCTGCAGATGGGATAGTGGAGACTGATGACCAGGTTAAAGCGTCCCTCCTTTCCGACTTCTTTCCGTCCGTGTTCACCCGAGAACCTAGTTCTATATTTGCCCATCCATCCATTCGCCAACCAACCTCTCCTCCCAGTACCCTTTCCCCTCCTATCCCCTCCCTACCCTCCTTAATCGAGGAACCACTCTTTTCATCGATCATAGTTAGGGCCGAGCTACTCCGGCTGAAACCTGCCAAATCGCCTGGCCCAGATAGAATTCCCGCCCTAGCACTTCGTGAACTTGCTAATGAACTGTGCAAACCCTTATCCGCAATATTTCAGAAGTCATTTGAAGACGGCGAGCTACCGGAAGAATGGAAGTGCGCACTCATTACTCCGATCCATAAAGGATGCTCAAGACTTGACTGCGGAAATTATCGTCCTGTCAGTCTTACTTGCATCGCGTGTAAAATTATGGAACGCATTATCAAAAGGCACTTGATGAAATACCTGGAACGGAACAAAATATTGTGTGATGCCCAGCACGGCTTTCGTCCAGGGCGCTCCTGCCTAACGAGTGTTGTTTACTCGCACGAGAAATGGATACGAGCTACCGATAAGGGTTTTCCAGTAGATGTCATATTTTTTTGACTTCAGGAAGGCCTTTGACAGTGTCCCACACAGGCTTATTTACAGAAGATCTGGGATGTTGGGATTCAAGGAAGAATGTTTAAGTTTGTCAGGAGTTTTCTGTCCTCCAGACTACAAAGAGTCGTCGTTGAAAATTCTACCTCGGAATGGGTAAAGGTGAAACGTGGTGTCCAACAGGGTTCTGTCTTAGACCCAGTACTCTTCCTGACTTATGTTAATGACTGTATCAGCGAAATGAACTGCGAGGCTCTCATGTTCGCGGATGACATAAAAATGTGGAGTGAAGTCAAGTGCGATGATGACGCAAAGAAGTTCCAGTCGAACATCAACAAACTGTGTGCTTTGTCGAACAGATGGCTTTTGAAGTTTAACGTGTCCAAATGCGTGGTCTTGCACCTGAACACCGGCCGCAATGCCTCTCCCAAACACCAGTACTATATTGACGCGACGAGGTTAGAAACTGTGGAAAGACACAGAGATCTGGGTGTATGGACGACCACAAATCTATCGCCATCAGAACACTGCAGAAAGATGGTCCAGAAGGCAACTAGTACTCTACACTGGATCAGACGTGCATTTAAAATATTTCCTCCCGAACTTTTCGAAAGACTCTTTGGTGTCTTTGTAAGACCTCATCTAGAGTATGGAATGTCAGCAGCTTCACCATGGATGCGGAAGGATATCAACTTACTCGAACAGGTGCAACGCAGAGCGACAAAGATGGTCGATGGTCTAAAGCATTTGTCTTATCAGGGGAGGCTGAATTGGCTTGGTCTATTCCCTCTCTCTTATAGACAAATAAAGTGCAGTCCACTCTGGACGTTCCGGATTGTTCGCGGCCAGGGTTGCTCATTAAGAGCAGAGGACACCTTTGAGTTCGCCCGTACAAACCAACTACGCGTCCATGCATACAAAGCCGGGAATGAGCGCACGCGCTTAGACCGACGAAAATTTTCATTCAGCCAGCGGTTTGTCAGGCCGTGGAACTCGCTTCCAAGCTAGATGGTGACGGCTTACACAGTTGGTGTGTTTAAAAGAAAACTTGCCCGTCTAGTTTTCGACAGAAATCGACTAGTACAGCATGACTATGCACAACCAGTTTTGTAAAATCTGTCATATACAATCGTCCGCACTAATTTACAGTGACCCTACGCACTACCTTATTTAATTTAATTTATTAAATGCCAGTTTAAAGGCATTGTCAAGGGAAGCGATTAAACACAAATCCGACCAGCAGTAAAAAAAAACTCCTGAAGAATAAAAATATAGTTGATGAGGGTTTTTATGGTTTGGAGGATTCAGGAGAAAAAAAACTGCTGGCGGTAGATTTTCGACCGTCAAGAAGGGGGGGGGGGAGGGGGTTGCACGGTATCGGAGATCATCGGACGTCAATTCCTTTCATGAAGTTGGGGAAAGTCAAAGTAGAGGCGTTGAGGAACAGCTGGTAAGACCGGCCATAGTGTTCAGAGACCACAAACGCCATCGCTACGGTAGAGTCGATCAGTGGATTCAGAACCCAAAATTTGAGGAAGCTTTTCTGAATGCAAAAAATCGAGTAATAGTTCTCTTAAATAAAGGATAATTTTGCAGAGTTTTCACACTCATGGGTAGTTTATTCCAAATAGCAATTGCAGTTACAGAATAGAACCGACGATACTTAACAGTACGTGCCAGAGGCCGAAATAAGAAGACCTCACGGTGACTGTTACGTCGTGGGTGGATATGATGTCTTAAAGAAGTGAGTGGGTTAAAAATTTGATTACATAAAAGTCTAAACAGCAAAAATAGTACCTTTTGTGATCTACGGAACCATAAAGGATCAAGGCCCGTAAGCCGCCAACGTTCTTGGTAAGACAAATGTCGGTGTTCCGGGGTTAAAATTCCCTTGGTAAAAAAGTGTTGAACGGATTCTATTTTCTTCCGCTCAGTAGCACGCATTAGGCTAAATAAAAACGGACAGTATTCCAGACCAGGTCTAACGTACATGTTGTATAGGCGCATTCTGATGTCCCTAGTTTTAAAGTTTCGGAGGATAAACCCGGTCGTTCTACGTGCTTTGAAGACTATCAAGGCACAGTGCTCCGAGAGATTGAGACTCTTGGAGTATGATATGCCCAGATCCTTTATAACCCTGGGCACATTTATGGAGTGACCTTCAATATTTAGTTGAGGTTGGTGGTCGTCGCCAACCACCATGACTGTGCACTTATGCCAAGAAAGAGAAAGGCGCCATGTGCGGCACCACTGGGCGAAAGCCTGTAGATCGCTCTTTAGGAGCTCAAGCCCGATGTCACGATCTGCCGGCTTATATCGATATGCAACTTTAAGATCATCGGCATACATGAAAGGCTTACCATTCTGAAATAAATCGGGTACATCATTAACGAAAAGGCAAAATAAAAGCGAGCCGGGTACACTTCCCTGAATGACTCTACTCCTCACACGTGTGGGGTTGGAGATGGTATTGGAAATCTTAACTCGTTGTGTACGAGCGTCCAGGTAAGAGGATATAAAATTCAAAAGTT